CTTGAATGGGAGCTCCACTTCAGTGCGTGATTAATTGCATTGAGACTTGCTTAAAATCTCTGCTTATTGGAATGTGCATTATTGTCTTAACTAAACTCCTCATAAGCTCTGCTGCTTAAACACTTAAAGCCCAGCATCCATGCAGCTTCATTCCGGCTAATTGCTTTCTGTTTTTCATACACACACACATATGTATGTTCCCTTTGTTTGCGCGACCTATGTCTTTTTAACGTATCCATCTATATTTTATCTTTCATTCTAAGGATTTGGAGAAAAGATGAGGCATCAAAGCATGAATATATAGTTCTATTTTTCCTGCAAAATGAGACTGTGGAAAGCCATTTCTTTCCCTATCACATCATTACTGAATGAGATTTTTTTGGTCATGGGACCTGACTAAAATTTTTTATTTTAACTCAATATGAGATTTTAGTGTATAACCAGATTTAAGAACATAAATTGGAATATGTGTCTACTTTTATTCAATGCACTATAGATATTTGAACCCACAATTTCATACAAAATGGATAAATTTAAGGGTTTTTTTAAATTGAAAAGACTGATTAATTAACCAGATCATTTTTTAATGTGGTGAAAAAATACGAGATCCACTCTCATAAAAATGTTTAGATGTATATTATTTGTATCTGTAAGCACAATCATGTACAACAAATCTCTATAACTTCATCTTGAATAATAGAACCTTTCTATCAATTGAACAGCTCCATTTACCCCTCTCCTGGCACTTGGCAACACCACTACTTTTTTCTTTAATTTATCTTTACTCAACTGGTATGGCTCAGTGGTTGAACATTGACCTATGAACCAGAAGGTCACAGTTCGGTCACAGTCAGGACATATGCCTGGGTTTGCAGGCTCAGTCCTCATAGTGGGGCATGCAGAAGAGGAAGGGGAGGGAGAAAGAGATAGAAACATCAATGATGAGAGAGCATCATTGATCGGCTGCCTCCTGCATAGGTTGCTCTGTTGATTGTTTACTTTGCTGTGCAGAGGCTTTTCAGTTTCATGTTGCCTCATAAGTCTAATTTTCTTTTTGTTACCTACACTTTTGGTGTTACATTCAAGACATCATTGCTGATATCAATGTCATGAAGATGTTCTCCTATGTTTTCTCTGGGAATTTTACAGTTTCAGGTCTTATGTTTAAGCTACTGAGTTATGTTTTGTGTACAGTGCACAATAGGGATCCAATTTTATTCTTTTGCATGTAGACACCCAGTTCTCCCTATCTCATTTGTTAAAGAAACTAGGCCTTATCCATTATGTATTGGTATCCATGTAAACGATCAGTCAGCCATATATGTGTGGGCTTATTTCTGGGCTCTCTATTCTGTTCCATTTGTCTAGCATCTGTCTTCATGCCAGTACCATACTGTTTTAATTACTGTAGCATATAATATGCTTTGAAATCAGCAAGTATGACTCTTCCACGTTTTTTCTTCTTTTTTCCAGTATTGTTTTGGCTTTTTTGGGGTTCTTTGTAGTTTATTATGAATTTTATTATTGTTTTATCTCTTTCTGCAAAAACCACCATGGAATTTTTATAGGGAATATATTGAAAATGTAAATCACTTAGAGTGGTATGGACATTTTAACAATATTAAGTTTTCCGATCCATTAACATAGGATGTCTTTCTATGTATTTGTGTCTTCTTTAATTTACTTCATCAATGTTTTGTAATTTTCAATTTACTAGTATTTTATATCCTTAGTTAAGTTTATCCTTAAGTATTTCATTATTTATGATGCTATTTAAATAAAATTGTTTTAATTTTCTTTCCAGATTGTTCATTGTTAGTGTTTAGAAATTCAACTGATTTTTGTATGTTGATTTTGTATCAATGAACTTTACTGAATTTATTTATTAATTCTAACAAGTTTTTTTTGTGTGGAGTTATTAGGGTTTTTTACATGTGAGGTAATGTCATTTACAAACAGGGATAATTTTACTTCCTGCTTTTTATTTGGATGTCTTTTATACCTTTTTATTTCCTAATATGATCTGTTTGCATTGTGACTGTTCTAATGTATATTATGACATTGACCCCCTTAAAGTAAAGGAAGCTTAATGTGACGATATCTCTGACAGGTGAAAGTGAAGTCATATTATGATTACACTGTTTTGTCAGAATAACCAAGTACTATAATTCTTATTTAGTATCACAGACCTGAATTTGGCTTGCTTGTTTGGGGAAAAAATGATGAGATTCAATTAATAAAATTTTAAGGCACATTACTAAAAGAGATCACTGTCACTTTAAATTTTAAAAATAAAAAGACTAATTAAATATTTTTATTCAATCATTTGAAGCCTCAATTACTAAGAAAATAATAGGACAACATTAAAAATAATAGTTCTGGTTATTGCAATTAATTGAAATTTTATACAAACCCTTGTCCACATATAATTTTCATTAAAAATTAGGGAGAGAATGGTACAATAATGTAAAAATTATGTAATAGTGAAATAAAACATAACTGTTAAAAATATATCTTTTAAAGTGCTCCCTTCCCCACCACCATTATCTGTGACCATGAACGGATACTAGACTTACCATCTGTTGTGCAATAACAGAAAGATAAAAGAAGAGAGAGGGAAATCTTAGTTTGATATTTTAATGATCAAAGATTAAAATGAACACCAAGTGTTTTTAATGAAAACTTGAATTTTTTTTCATTTATATATGTAGTTTATATGCATTTCTGCTGGGGAATTTTTTTTAACTAAGCTTCTTTAATGAAAAATGTGGATGTTTATAATATTCCTATCTGTTCCTTATATTTTATACTTCTGTCTTAGATTGGCAAAGGAATTATAACACCACAGTGTGATTAAATTAGTTAATGGCATCAAATGATTTCAATTTAGATTGTTATGTAAACATCCATTCCAATCAACAATTAGATCCTATTAAAGTAATTTAGAGTTTCTTCAAAATAAATTAATGTGTAGTTTTCACCATTAATTAATTCTTTGAATAATATAGCAACATTTCTCTATGTATTGGACATTTAACATAACATGTAATAATCCCTTTGTAAGGCAAAACATCCTAATTCACATACCAGGATAATATAAAATTGCCCATAGCACCAAAAAAACAACAACAAACAAACAAAAACTATCATTGGTGATTACAAAAGTAAAGTTTTAAATATAAAACATTTCTAAAATAAAATATAAGTGCAAATGGGAGATGTAAACAGGAGACATCTGTAATACTATCAATAATAATGTTGATAGTATAAAAAAATAAAAAAATGTTTTAATATGTTTGGAGTGCATGTTGCTTTTTAAAAATTCAAGCACATATGTGGGCTGAGAAAAAAATTCATGTTGTGCTCTGTGCTTCATTAAGTGGCACTTTTGTTTAACTCAAAATTAACTGCAAAGTTAGGAAAATATGACTTCAGGGTATGGCTTTTATACATTCCTACATGAACTAAAGGGGACTCTCCATACATCCTTCATTTCTCTGGCTGATTCCCTGTCAGCTTTCTCATTTCCTTCATATCTCTTGAAACTCCAACATGTTTATACAGGTTTACCAGAAGTCTAATAAAACAATGCCAATAAGTTGCAATTTTTACCACTAAGTCCCTGTACATTAGTGTAGGGAAAAGTCATCAAGATGTTACCAGTGGTTTGACCCTTGAGCTCCCCCAGGACAACTGGAAGCTCCCCATTCTCTCTCAGGTGCTTAGGAATGTGCTCTCCACTTGCCTCCCCCCAGCTAGAAGCTGTCCAAGGACACAGCCTTAGAATAATGATGTAGTGATGAGACATTCTGAACTGGGTTTCTGATTAAAGCTTACAAAGGCCTGCTGTGCATGTGACTGAACCCAGTTAAGGCTTCTTGTGTACATGACTGAACCTAGTTAAGGCCTCTATATGGACTTTTAATATTCTGGCAGGCTGGTGGGGAAATCTACTCGTTCTATGACCAGCCAAGACAAGCCTTTTTAGTGAGTTCTCTTCCTTACTAAACCTGCCACCTACTGATCTGGATTGGTCTGCCTTTCTTCAGGCTCCCAGGCCCCCCAGTGACAGAGGGCCAATTTCACATCTGGTCCAGGAAGCTCCCAGCCAGGCTTGTGAAGCAACAGTAACTCATGCAGATTTCTCTTTAGAGTAAATGTAGAAACAGGCTCTATTTCTGACATTCAATATGGTGCATTTTATGGTTTCATTGGTTCACGAATATGTTCACTTTGACAAGGAAAATTAGACAGTTCTGAGTATGATACTATGCCCACAGGATGCACTGGGATTGATTTGAAACCAATTGTATGACATTGAACTTAGCATATTTACTTATGTTGTAGGGGACATAACTTGATGTATGGCATATCAGATCCACATTACTCAGAGACGAGTATGATGGGGAGACAAGGGATGAAATAAGATTCAAGAGCGCAGTGCTTGATTTAGGAGATCAGAATTCTAATGTTGCCGCTGCTGGAAATTATAATAACTTTAAAAGCTTCTTTACTATTCATTTTATGTACTTATAAGATGAGAATATTGGACTACAGTTTATCTCTAACTTTTTCCTAGCCATAAAATTTATGATTTTACTCTATTTGAAATTAAAGAATGGCAAGATATCACTGAGAAATTTTAAGTATTACTTTTTATATTAAACCCTTGGTTTCCATGGCTATTCCTAATAAGAGTCACCTTGGGATTATAAAATGTTGATTTCCCACCAGAGATTGATAAAATCAGAAGAGCATATGCATTTTTAAAAGCTTTTCATATTTCTGACATAGTTATTCTTTCCTTTGTTATTTCATAGTACAGTTTAGAATTCTATGATAGGAAGTAAGTCTTTTGTTCTTCACTTAGAAACATGCACAGGCATATGAATGTTATAGTTTGAGAACATTAAAAATAAATGATATATTACTTTGTTGTAAGTAACTGAATATTCAGTGGGCAGATCAATGTGTTTTCACATTTCATTATATAATATTACCTTTTTCCTTTGGGGAAGCTGCCAACTTCACTTCTTTCCCCTTAATAGGCTCTGGAAAGAAACATTGAGCATTTATTTTCAGCCAAGATGAAAAGTAATTGAGGACACATATATGATGAATTCTGTGAGCTATCATTAAAGTGAACTGTATGGCAATAATATAATGTTTTCTTTAAAAAATTCTTTTAATCATACAGACACAAAGATACAACAGTATAGAGTACAACAAGCCACTCCTTGATTATTTTTATTTAAAATAAATGTAAAATTTTGAATGAGTTACAATCTATTTGTTCATTCAGAGTGTAGGCATTTAGATGGATTAGAAGTTATTTCATCTATAATTTTTAAAAACACATAACTTCAGCATCCAAAATCTCCTCTATCTGTTATAATTAGCACTCAATTAGTATATTTTTGTCAGGCTATGTTTGTTTGTGTTTTTTGTTAAAATAAACAATCAAATGAAAAACCCTGCATATATCATGTAAATGTGGTGTTTTAGTCATCAGACTCAAGTCAAATAAATTTCAAGAATAAGACTAAAATAAAATATGAGATAATTTATTCTATAAACTTTCAACATCTTAAAAATGTGGTCCTTGATTAAAGTAAATAAAGCTTCATTTATTCTACCATGTTAAAAAACAATGTAATTCTGATCATATTATGGGTTCCAGACATATACGTGGGCAATATCTTAAAGAACATTATCCATCCTCAACAACCTATAGAAAAAACATTAGCCCAGTTTTTGCCTCCTCTCAGTATCCATTTTATTGACAAAAGTAGCTTTTAATACACTGGGAAAGAAAGGAAGAAAAAATCAATACCTTCAGCCCTTTCTTCCATTCTCACCTTATGGTTTTGGGTGGGAATTCTGGAATAGGGTGGTAGCACCTGAATGGATGTGCCACTCAATCACTTCGAATTAATTGAGTCCAGGTGACCTTGGATGGTGTCAAGAATTAATTTGGGGGTTGTATTGAAAGGGCTGTGTCCCTCAAAGCAAGATTTTCTTGGTAGATAAGCTACAGCCTTAAGTATCCCTGTTTGTAGAATTTTTAAAAATGGCTTTGATGGAAAATAAATGTTTGTGTTGCTATTTATTGTGCAAAGTATAAATAAGGCTGTTCCCCACCCCCATATTTTAGCATACAAAGATGAAATCAAGAGCTTTGGATTGGATTAACACAAAAAGAAGCTTCATTAACTTCTAAACCAAAATAATTAATGTATTGAGAAATGAGAAGTGGTGGTTGGGACAGATTCCCAGTGAGGTGAGAGAGGGCAATCCCTGAAAGTTCAGGATTCAATATTAAGCATCTATCTACACTAATAAAAGAGAAACATGGTAATTAGCGTATGACCGCTACCCTTCCCATTGGCTAATCAGCATATCCTTATGCAAATTAACTGTCAGCCAAGATGGCGGCTGGCAGCCATGCACTGA